TTCTGGCTTGCCTTGGCAATCCTGCCTAGCCCAGCTCGCCCAAAACCAAAGCCCTGGGGACCTCTTGCAAACTGCCTGGATGTGCTGCTGTCTCTTCTTGCGAACAGGGACACGCACGACCGATCTGTATTTAGGACTGCTACAAGCTCCTATTTCTAGCTTGGGGCATTCTTTGATATAAGGCTACTGCCCAGTGCAGCCAGAGCTGGTCGTGACCAGAGGAGGGATAACATTGCAGAACAGGCTTGTCTCCCTGGGCTAGGATAATGTTTCTGAACTGCTAACTCCAGCCAGGGTCAGAAGGAAGCCAGGTTGGAGTGAGAAGTGCCTGAGCTGTGTCCTTGGTTTCCTGGGGTAAAATTATTCTCCTGGTAATCACCTGGATTTTGAAGGACTTCCTTCTCTTCCCTGGCACTATGTGACTCAGTTTCCAGCGAACACTGCACACAACCTTTGTGGATCCATGTGCCGGGTTTCTCTGGCAGGGTTTTTGGTAGCAGGGGAGGGGGCTGTAGCGGTGGCCCCCTGTGAGAAGCTTCTGGAAGCTCCCCCGGCTCCAAGTCGGTCCTGCCTCTGGCCAGGGCCGAGCCAATTAGCGATGGTGGTTGTGCCTCTGCGATAACATATTTAAGAAGGGGAACCTGGGAGGGGGTTGGGACTGGTGAGGAGGAGTTGGGAGAAGGACGAACACCCCGGGCAGTGGAAGGAAGGAGAAGGAAGGGGGGAGGTGCGCTGGAGCAGAGCCCCCCCCGTATCCCGTGGGGAGACGGCAGGGCCACCCCCCTGCCACCCGTGGAGGTCTGCGGTGGAGCAGAGGCCGACCTGCAGCCTGTGGAGGAGCCCACGCCAGGACAGGCGGCTGCGCTGAAAGGAGGCTGGGACTCTGAGGGGAGAAGCAGCCCCCGCTGTTGTAGTTCGGCGCTGGGAGGGCTGCACCACGCCGGGGGGGGGGGCCTGGGGAACGGCTGGGGCCCGTGGGGAGGACTCATGTTGGAGAAGGTTCCTGGAGGCCTGTCTGCAGTGAGAGGGGAGCCCCGGGGAGCAGGGGAGGGCTGGGCGGCGTTCCCCCCAGCTCCCCAGAAGGAGGGAGCGGCGAGCTGGCTGTGACCCCCATCCCCTGCCCCTGCGCTGCTGGGGGAGGAGGGGGAGAGATGGGGAGCAGAGCTGAGCCCGGGGAGAAGGGAGGGGTGGGGGGAGGTGTTTTTGGATGTGGTGGCGCTTCCCACTGTCTCACCTTGTCTGTTAAGTGTTGTCTTTGTTACAGTTTGAATTAAAGTGATGTTCTTTTTTTTTTTCCTTCCCCTAACCAGTCTGTCTTTTGCCCCTGACTGTGATGGGTGAGCCACCCCTCCCTGTCCTTATCCGGATTCCTGAGCCTTTTACCTCATTTTCTCCTTCCCGTTCCTGAGAGGGGAAGGGGTGAGTAACAGCTGCATGGTGCTCAGTTGCCCTCTGGGCTCAAACCAGGATAATCCATCCTGGGAAAGACCCTAGGCCTAGGATGAGAGGACTTGCCAGGCAGGTCTCTGGCAGTGTGCTTCCACTCTCCTCTCTCTATGCTACAAAGCTTTTGCTGAGGACATCCTTTGCTCTGACAGACCAGCTGAGCACACGGATGGAAATTACACCATTCTTGATGATGCTTTTTAAGAACCTCCAAGAAAGGACATTCATTTCTTTCCCAGGTAACCTAGTCCACTGGTTTTCTCACCTTTGGAAACATTCTTCTGATCCCATTCTTCTGATGTCCCTTGCTAAGATCTAAGACTAACACAGCTTGTCTTCAGCTAGAAGAACACAAAGAATACCTCACTTTTCCACATCTGACCTCACATATGTTTGGAGATTGTTTTAGTCCTCTCTTCCTTAAACTAAGCAACCTTCCAATTCCCTCCATCTTCCCTTGAAGCTCATGCTTTCTAGAGTAACGTGAGCTTTTACCTACCATCCCCATTTCCCCTATCCTGTGACTGCACATCAGTGCTCAGCATAATGAAACCTGCAGGGAACCTACCTCCCAAGACAACCTGCAGGACTCTGAGCAAGAAGCAAGACAAGCAGTGAAAAACAAGCCTAGGTCTCCACCAGAACCTTTCAAAGTACAATAAATTGCAATAAAAACTCGCACAACAGCGCTGTGGCACAGTGTGCCACTGCGGGAAGAAGGGAGATTGATGATTCTGCACCATCTTCCCCAAGAGTGCTTTGAACAGGACTGCCTCTTGGCCCATGCTGCTGTCCTGGTTTGGGCTGGGATAAATTTTTCTTCTTAGTAGCTAGAACAGTGCTGTGTTTTGGATTCAATATGGGATTTAGTATGAGAAGAATGCTGAAAATACTCTGATGTTTTCAGTTATTGCTAAGAAATCAAGGACTCTCCAACTCTCCACGTCCTGCTCGTGCTCAGGTGTACAAGGAGCTGGGAGGGAACACGGCCAGAGCACCGGACCCAAACTGGCCAGTGAAATATTCCGTATTATGTAACATCATGCTCAGTATATATAAAGGGGGGGCTTCTGGGACTGCGGCTGTGGGATCTTGGTATTTCGGGATCGCTAGCCAGGAACGGGCTGGGTACCAGTCGGTGGGTGGTGAGCAACCGCATTGTGCGTTACCCATTTGTACTTTATATGACTGTTATTGTTTTATTCTATTTCAATTATTGAACTGTTTTTATCTCAACCTGTGAATCTCCCTTTGCCCCTCCAATTCCTTCCTCCATCCCCCGGGCAGGGCAGGGGCAGTGAGCGGCTGCGTGGTGGCTGGCTGCTGGCCGGGGTTGAACCACGACAGCTGCAGCCACTTGGCTCTCACTCATCATCTCCAGCCAAGGAGGCGAGAGGGGGAAGGAGCCAGTCGTTGGGGCACATTGGCACAGCTAACACCTGCTGGTCTGGGGCTCTAGAGGGAAGGGCTTTTTTAAATATGAGGCCACTGCTGCTTTTCTGAGGTGTGGACTTTAGGCACCACTGCCAGATAGGTCCTTTGTCAAAGTGGCTCTAAAGCAGAACAGGAGAGACTAGATCTGCTGAGATGTGACTGTTCTGAACTCTAGTGCCTTATGCTCCCCAACCCTCAGTTCCTGTGGGATTTCTGGCAGGTATAGTGCACCACAGAAAAGGGGTGTCTGAACAACAATGGAGGAGATGGAGCAAACTGAGAGCAGCTGCGAGGGCAGGCCCTTCAGTCTCTGCTGGAGCAGGGAACTGAGACTGATAGTTTGCAGATTCGTCTCCACCCAGATGCCACGGGGGTGGCCACAAACTGCCCCTTAGCTGACATCTCACAGGCTCCAGGTAAGCCAGGGCTTCCTCAGGCTCTCAGCACAGGTAAGGGGCAGGGAGGAGAGGTGCAGAAGGAAGGCAAAACATCACGTTGGCCCCCAAAGAAGGGAGCCAAGTCGTTTTTCCAAACTCACTGTAGCGTTCAGACTGCTCATCCAGGACTAGTTTTTCAGTTATCAGTTTCACAGATTCAGTGAACTAAACCAAGTACCCATCTTTTCCTCCAAGTGTGGAAGACTGGTCTCAGCAAAGCAGAAATGTGGGAGGATAAAACATGTTTGTGAAATTGCCAGGTAAAGAGCAGGGAAAGAAGCCAGACGTCGGAAGGGAGGAGAGTGGATGAAAAAGGCCGGAATTACATTGTCTGGAGGAGTTAATGCTTCAACCCTGCAATTAAACAGGAAAAGTGATATCACTGGTGATCACAAACTCACATTGGTACAAAACTAAACCTACTGCATGTGCCAACACTCTAGAAGCACAAGTAACAGACTCAAGCAGAAGTGCCACGTCCTTCTGTAGCACAGCAAGGGTGTGCTTCAGGCAGACCCCCTCGAGCCCTGATATTCCATCACCCAGACTGTCCAAAACCACCAGAGAAAACTGCATTGCTGCTACTAGATTTCCACTTGCTCACTGTGTTTTCTCTCACTAGCCAGCCTCAGTATCCTCAGCTTCAATATTCAGCCTTTCATAAGAAGCCTGCAATGAAAGGGCAAAACTCATCCAAGCACTAAAAGAATATTGTTTTTGTTAAAGGGCAGAGCAAGCATGACGGAGTGCAGCCCTTACTACAAGAGCTGGGATATGGTTGAGACTGAGGGACTTTTTTGCTGGGTTGGCCACTGTTTCCTCACCCTCGTACTGGCGTGAAGAATGAGAGCTCTCTGGTGGCAAAATGTGAATTTGCAAAGCTGGACTTTCAGTGGCCCCACTGCTTTTCCCTGCTCACGTGGTAGGCACAGGAACATAACAGAAAACCAGTCCTGTGCTGCCCTCTTCTAGAGAACTGAGAGCAGTCAGACCTAAACACTGGACAAGATGCTTTCTAGTGCAGGGGTGCCTGTTGCAGGTCCTGGCACAACCCCTAGCTCGCTGCCTGCCCCTCGTGGCTCTGCAGCCCTTTCTCCAGGCACACAGGCTACGCTGGGACACACGTTCACAGGCCAGGAAGATACCTGCATTTGGTTACATGGCAAAAGCGACAGCAACCAGCCAGATGAGTGTTTTCTAGGGGCTGCTGTGGCTCCAGTCCAAAGAAAACAGGGGACCACACTGCTCTGGGAATCCAAGATGCGAGTGGGAGAACGGGAAAGCTGATGAGATGTCTCACAGGAATCCAACAGCGAAATAAAAGGGAAGCATGTAAAACTGGTCTGCTTGGAGAAACAGCAGCAGCTGTGTAACCTGCCAGCCGAGAGGAGAAACACCTTAACCCTCACCATTCATGCTTCATGAGACCCCAAAACAGAAGCGAGACCCAGCCAAAACCCAAGAGAATTTGGGTGAGAAAGAGCTTGGACTGCCATGATTTTCACAAAACAACAGGCTTCCACTTTTCTCTACCAATTTTTTGGCACTGCCTTCTTAGGGACACAGTCAATCTTAAGTGTCCAGTATCTCTCAAGCAGTTGGGGTCTCAGGGGATTTGGGGGAGCCAAAGCGCCCCGTTTCATACAGGCAGCTCACGTACAAGGCTTGCTCCTTAAGGCCCACCTTGACACCTGGTTCTCAGCTGTGTTCCACCACTCCTTTCCGCCTGAAGATGAGCAGATCCACAATCTGTACACATCTGGCATACCTGGTCCCTCCAAGAGACCTGGAAAAGAGAGACAGCAGTGACATACCACCAAGCCTTTCTGGCATGTGCCCCAGCACATCGATGAACGATGCCTGAGCAACCCCAGAGCTGTTCCCACCTCCTGGCCCAGGGAGGAAACCCGCTGCCCCTCCACGAGGTGTAGTGAACTCTAGGATTCTTCACGGGTTCAAATAGTGATGACTCGAAATCAAGAAGGATGAAATTCACAGAAGGTTATTCAAAACAGAGGCACGATGTCAAACTCAAGATGTTCCTGCCTGCCCACTGGAGGCTGGCAGTCCATCTAACTGATCTGCTGCCAGGTCACTGCCCTCATCCACCCTTCCCCAGGCACCTGCTGCCAGGGAGAGGATACTAAGCTGGACAGACCTCTGATCTGACCTAGGACAGCTCTAATGGGAGCGAAGCTGTCACATCTCGGGCCCTGACAGAGCCTGTCCTTGGGCAGTTCCCCCTGCAGCTCTGTAATGCTCCTTCCCAGGCTGAGAAACTGTACCACGCTCCAGGAACAACCCAGAGCTGGCCAAGCTTGTCCGCTTAAGCCTGCAAGAGGTGGTCGCAGAAGCTGGAGAGAAACAAGAATATTAGACAGGTAGGGAAAGCCACAGAGAGGCTTAAGGCTGCAAAAGAGAAAAAGAGAAAAAAAAAAAAAAAAAAAGGGTGGGGGAAGAGTTGGAAAATACTAGTTTATATCTGGGTGAGAAAGTGAGGATCGCTGTTGTGCGGATGTGTGGACAAATTGCTGTCATGCCAGCAGATGGTGCCCTGCCTTCAGGCAGCAGCAGGCAGCTGCCCTGGCAGGGGACAGCCGCCCTCCCCTCTCCTGTCCTCAAAACGGCAGGGAGAGGGAAACACCACCCTCGCTTTGCCCCAGGGCCCGGCCACCCCACGGCTGCAAGGCCGCTTCCACCTTGAACTGGGGTGAGGCTGACTTTGCACCTGGGAACCGGGAGAGGAGGGTAAATCAACCGCCTGCCTGGAGGCGAGACCCCCGGCGCTGCAGTGAAGGTCAGAAGCCGCTTTTTGAGCACCGAGAGAGCGAAGCATCGTCTGTTGGGAAGAAGGACTTCTGTGACGGGGACCTGACGGGGAAAGCACTGTCCAGGAGTTGCATTTCGGTCACATTCAAGTCTCTGAACCAGCAGAAGTGTCAGAGCCCTTAGGAAGGATTGCAGGGTAGCCTGCACAAGGAAGAAGTTGCTCCGGCAGGCCGGATTCAGCCCGTACACCATCGACTGGCAACCCGTGCTTGCTGGCCTCCCCCAGAAATGCAGCTGTAGTCACCCCAGAACCCACGTACAGCTTGGTGGGTGACGACTACACATCCAGAGATCCGAGCCGTGCTACTCAAGCAGTACAGCAGCTCGGAAAGACGCCGCTGGGTGCTGCAGAGTGGAGACACACGGGCTCACCCAGCTGGCTCATCCTACCAGACCAGCCAGCCCTTCTGCACCCCACGTGCCGGAGGAGAGCCAGCACACCAAGCACGGGCCACCGTCCCAGATCCGGGCGCCGAACTGAGCTAGAGAGGGCAGTGGGAAAGGGCTGCTTCCCTCACACTACCCTGTTTGTCAGAGGAGACCTGCCCACAGCCACCTCCTCGGACAAGACCGGCAGGAATACATAGCTCACGGCAGCCCAGCTATCAGGGCTAGCAGAGATCCAGCTACCAAGCCAGCCTTGACCCCGTTGTTGATCTCTGCACAAAGAGCACATCCTGCGGGCCGATGGCACCCACAGCACAGACAGGAGAGAGGTCAGGGATACTGTCAGAGGTTCCCACCCGTGGCTGCGTGCTGTCTGCCTGCACACGTGCAGGAAACACAGCAAGACCCTCCTCTTTTCCAATTTGTCTCTCTGCAATATCCTCCTACCACTCCTCCACCTCACCTCGACCAGTTCAAGTGGCAGAAGCGGTAGGAGTGCTGTTTATCTATGTGCGAGGCAGGTTCACCAGGAAAGCAACACCCTTTCTTAGGCTACCTGATACATCGGAAGGCAAAAAAAAATAAGCAAGCGCAACCCGGTGCGCTTGCTCTCCCCGTAACACCGCTGGCCCGGCCAGCTCTCATAGCTTAGACCAGCCCAGTCCCAGGCTGGGGACAGAGATTTGTCCTGTTGTGTCCCCAGTTGTGCTCCACAGGCATCGCTGTGGCTTCTCACGAGTGTCACAGCAGCCAGGGCTGTGCTTTGGGAAGGAGCACTTGCTTCTCTGCAACTCAGGCCTCCAGTAACCACCTGAAATTCTTAGAGCACCCCCCTTGCCCACCACCACGCTCCCCGAAATCATTCAGTACTGCTTCAGTACCTCTGGTCAGTTTTGAAGGGGCTGTCATGACCCTCTGGCAAACCCTCCGCAGCCATCAGGCTGCTGTTGATCAACACCCATCATGCTGACTAACACGGTCTCATTGCTTCCTTTTTCATTACCCCATGCGTTTCTTATCTTATGGTTAGTCAGTAAGCAGATTAGTGTGGGGATTTTCCAGTCTACGCCTGTACAGCACCTTGCATGATTGGTGATACATGTGGTAGGGCTAATTCACATGCCATCTAATCTTACCCTCAGAAGTCCTCCTTATAACAAACTCCCAATTTTAACCACCCCGGGAACAAGAGCCAACCACTCGCCATGCCTGAGAGCTAAACCTACACAGGTTCAACAAGTGATCACAGCCCCAACGAACACAAACGGGCCTGCAGTTCCCAAGCTGGAAGAAAAAGCCATCCTGCAGAAGCAACACGCTGCTGGAAGGCTTCTTTGTTATTCTGATGCAGCTCAGCTCAAACCTTATAATAAAAAAAGGCAACCTGCTACAACCACCTTCTGTCTGGGTCACAGTGTGAGAGGAGAGGGGGTTAATTTAGTCAGGAAAGAAAAAGATTATTAATGGCATTGCAGATAGATCTCAGCAGCAACCACCTCCACACCTGGAACAAAGCCCACATAAGCCAGAAGTGCTTCCTCCCCCCTTCATGCAGCCGTGCCACATTTGATGTAGGAGCATTATCATCTTAGAGGCACAGAGAAGAGATGGCCTAAAGGTTAGGGTGTTACCCTGTGAAGGCAGCAAGACTTCATCATGCTCACCACAGATTTCCTGCCCCCGGCTGGGAGAGTCATGCAGCCTCTCTCGGCACAGCCCTCCCCCTCTGCCAAAGGTTTTGCACACACAGCCCATCAAAAGCTGAGCGTAACCTCGCTGAATGCCGCAAAGCATTCGAGTTACACCAGAGATGCTGCTTAAAACTTTGCCCAGTAGTTAAGAGGAGTTGAAGGCCTCAGTGTGCTCGGCATGAGCCTACCTTCTCAGACCATGTGGGATTTAAGATCCAATTCACGTGCACGCAGCGAAACCAGCACATCATTCTAAGTCTTGCTCGTTGCCTATTTTGAGGATTTCAGCAAGAGCCGAGCAGCCAGCAGCGGCTAGTCCTTAAACTGATTCTGGAGCAGGATGTGTTTCATTCTCATCATCCAAGGTACTTTGGACAGGCAGTTTAGTAGCAACAAAAGTGAAGGGGGAAGAAAAAGGGGAAAAAAAAAAAAAATTAAAGCCGGGTAGGAGAGTAGCTTGATGACATTCTTGCATATTTAAATTAACAATTAACGTGGGGCTGTTCCATTCCTGAGCTGCCTTCTTGTGTTATTTCCTCCTCCTTCCTCCTTCTAGTGGTAAAAATGCCCCAGGGGTAATGAAGCATTGAGCTACCTTCCCCATTCAGACTCAAGCCAGAAGGATTCTGATGAGGCTGATAAAATTAGCCGGGTCTTACAGCAGCAAGCAGGGTCAGATTTTGCTCCGGTTGTTCATGGCCTGCAGAGTTTTTGCCATATGGAAATTAAAAGGACTGCAGCAACTTTGGAAGTTGAGAGCAAATTAAAAAGAATACAAGTTCTGGCATTCATCCTTAGCAATTTAGGACAGCCTTTTCATTACCGTAAAAATAGCACGTATTTATAAGCAACATCCAGCTCCCATCTCCACTAAATCTCAAACTTCATTACAGAAAAGGCAGTAACAATGTTAACACTTTGCAAGTGGGAAATTAAGGTAAAGGGGAAGAACAGCTTGCCCAGCCTCACCCCACAGGCCAGGGCAGGGGTTCAGACCCACTCTGGGCTCCTGGTCCCTGCATGCTGCCTGCTGTGCCACACCATCTCTCCAGAAAAGAAATGGACTACACCACAGCAGTTTCCCGAAATACCTTTAGGTTCTCCTTCTCCCCCCAGATTTCCCTTTACATTTTTACCCCAGTGCATCTACTAAGCAGAATGTTTCAGCGATGCACAGCAATGGGCTTCTCATGGCTTTGTTTCTGCCAGTGCAATAGCTGTGACTGTAAGGTTTACAGAGACTTTCTGTTCCTGTCTAAAATTATCTTTGCTGAGCCTTGCAACGCCAAGAGCACAGCGCCAATATTCCATAAGCCCTGAGAAAAACGGACTACATTTCAGGCACACTCAGCTAGTGTGGTTACAGCAGCAGCATCATCCCTCAGCCACGGCCAAATCTCAGGGCCATCACCACGTCAGGCCTCGCACAAGGGGCCACCTCCCGTTTGGCTGCTGCATCAAGGCAGGGCCTGAACCTGCTGGCCAGGTGCTCTGCGCTGGCAGGGTGGTTGGCCAGCCAAAGAGGAGCCTCTGCGACCCCTGCTCCAACTGCAAGATGAGGGCAAAAGGGTATGAAAAGACAGCAGGTGGATGCAAGACAGATGGGGGAAGTGGGGGCTAGCAAGGAGACAACAGCAATTAGCATAAGCAGCAGCAGCCTCGGCTCACCAGCTGCTTTGCCGATTGTCTGCTCCAACAGCAAAGCAGCAATTTGCTTAAGAGCATGGCCAGTAGCTAGACCTGCCCCTCAGAACTGAAAGTATTAGGGAAAAAAAAAGCCCAATTTCCATGGTACAAAAGCAAGGCTTGCAAGGCTGTCATGTAGGAGTTTGCCTAAGTAAGGCATGGAGCAGGCGGCTCAAAACAGCCACCAAATACTTCAGAGTGAAAGGCTAAAAAAGGAAGGTTTTAGAGGAGGAAATGACTCAGTAGCTTGGAGGACGGGAGGGGGAGTTCAAATAGCTGAGGCATATAAAGTAAGCAAGTAGTCACCCGCTCAAATGCTAGAAAGTCAGTGAGGTGGAGGTATTGATCTTTGGTTTCTGTTGATGCAGGGTCTCATTCACAAATGGGAGTCCGTGGGCAACTTTTTATATCGGCCACGCTGGGGTTTGAAGCGGTCCTTCACCAGGCAGAAGCTTGTCAGCTGCGATCCACCCTGGTGCTTCAGACCAGAGCCAAAGTGGTCACCGCCAGCAGCAGGATTGCTGAGATTTCATGGGCTCCCCCATGGCTGGGGGACACACTGGGGGCGGGGAGGGGAAGCTTCAGGTCAACTGCAAATACCGTTTGCCTGAAGAGAGGGAGGGGGATTCACCTTTCGGGAGGGTTTGTCCAAACTTCCAGCTGGAGCTTTCAGCCTAGCTTATTTATAGCACTAACACTAGGAAAAAGGGTCAAAGCTCATTCAGTGTTGAAAAGCAGCAAAGCTAGTGAAAAGACCTCAGTCTCCACAATGCCGTGTCAATCCACAGCGTTCATTTATTTCTTCCTAATGCCCCCGTATTGCACTGAAACCCTGGGGGCGAAGGGAAGAGTCTGGGCTCCTGGAAGGCTTTACCCTTGCTTGCTGGTACACCACCACAGCAGTTGGCCATAACAGGGCATGCATCAGTGCGGCAGTGAGCCATGAGGTTAGTGCCAACGTGGCAGCAAGCCACAAGGCACCACTTCCTCATCCTCTGCCCCACGTCCCTGCCCCATCAAACGGGCAGGACTGACGGAAAGGGAGCTCGTAAAAAAGCCCTCTCTGAGATAAACCTCAGCCGGGGTGGCACGAGAGGTCACAGGCACGGGAGGAGCAGGCTGTTGAGTCAGGGAGCAGCACAGGACCGGCAAAAGAGACTCCCTTTCCCCTGCACAAGCTGCAGCACAGGATTTACACACAGCGGGGGGTTCCCAAACTGTGACATACGTGCTGCTGATGCGCAGCAGGCAGCTCCCAGTGCCCACGCTGGCACAGCACGCAGGGTGCACAGCCGCCTGTGCTAAGGCAGGCTGGTACCATCGTAAGCCACACGCTAGCCAGTGCATCTTGGTGCACTCAAAACACCGCTGTGTTTATGCCTCGGCAGGCTATGCTGGTTTGTCTTTTGGGGAATTAAACCTTTCAAAAAGTCATCATGGTTCCCGGTAAGTGCCCGGCCCAGAGCAACACATCCTTCCCATGAGACAAAAACAAGTGAGAGAGATCTCCCTCACTCTACTGGCGAAGGAGCTCCTCTCCTTGCTGAGGCTCCTTTAACTACTTACACTTCCTCAGCCCGCCGCAGTGGTTCTAAAAACGTGGCAAGACCTCTTAAAACAGACTGAGCCAACAGGCCAGTCCCAACTCATTTTCCCTTATAAGTGTATGACTTGAAACAGCCCCAGCCCCATTCGCGTGGCCTTACACCATCACTTCCCCTCCTCCCCAGGATGTATCACTTCTGTACCCCCGCTTGCATAGCGAAACCCAGGTATGAAGAGCAAGCTTGGAACAGTAACAGGCAAATAACCCACAGCAATTAAGGCTAAAAAGCAGAGCTGCCCCCGGTCGAGATGGAGGTCTGCCACAGCACTGTGCCGTATACAATGCCACCAAGCTAACAGCCATGGCAGAGACAGGATCAGAGAAACCCATCTGTCGGGCTTAAGTTCTGCTATTACACAGGCATTTTATCTGACTTGGCTTAGAATTATATGTTTTTTTTTAAAAAAAAAAAAAAAAAGCAAAACAACAAAATCAAACATGTCCCTACTCAATTCTTGTTATTACTTCCAAAGTCAGTTAAGACTTTGGTCCAAATTTAAGCATCCCTTGATCTAATCCACCAGAAAAGAGCATAGGGAAGAACTACCCACCCCACCCTGACTTAAGCCCAAGTGGTAGCCGTAGGTCTTTTGCTAGTTTCACCACAAATCTGATGCAAATGCTCTTGCAAAAGGGACCCCTGGTCAGTGCAAGCAACCCAAGAGCCTAACGCAACAGGGCTGCTTTTTCAATACATGCATCTTCAATACGGGGTCTTTCAGCAACTTCTACCTAATTTGAATAGGCATAACAGCATCTATAAAGGGCATCTACTGCAGCATGCCACGAGGGGAAGAAAAAAAAATAATCAAAATACAACACCACCCTTAACTAGAACAGCAATATGGATGAAAACTGCAAGGTATGGCTCACACATTTGGTATTGGAGCTTCATGCTAGCTGTAACCTGGTATGAAGTATTGCTGCCTCACACCTCCAGCCCTGAAAATACGCCATCGAGTCTTTTGTTTTCTGCTTACAAGCAGGGGGAAAG